TCAATACTGGAACAGAAACGAACCACCACAAACAACCTCCCACAAACATTGGCAGGACAGGTTAACTTCACAAATTTGTACCAGCTGGCCAACATCAAGAGAATCGTACAACACCTAAAGATGCAAGCTTCCTGCAATCAGCGCAGGATTGGAAATTGGAAGTGGACCTTAATAAGAAGCTTGTGTTTCCCCCAGAAATAGTGGCTACAACACTCCGGCCAGACATGGTCCTGTGGTCTCCAACAAAACTGGGATATGTTGTCGAATTAACAGTACCATGGGAAGAGGGGGTTGAAGAGGCTTATGAGAGGAAAAATAACAAATATTCTGACCTGGCAGCTGAAGCATCCCAGAACGGCTGGAAGACTAGCATCTTCCCAGTAGAGGTGGGATGCAGGGGTTTTGTTGCAACATCTACCACCATTTTGCTGAGAAAAATAGGGGTGAAGGGTCGCTCTCTCCAACAGGCCATCAAGTCCATATCAAGTGCTGCTGAAAAAAGCAGTAACTGGCTCTGGATCAAGCATAAAGACCCCATCTGGGCAGCAAGGTAGAGACAGATGGTATGCGGTCAGGCTTAGGCCCGACTCAGGGAGAAGGACGCCCCTGCCATGCAGAGCCCATCAGGGATATAGAGGGTATGGCATGGAGGGGGGTGTACCTGGGACGCTGGGTACACCGTTGAGCCTTTTGGAGACGTTGTGGGCTTCAATCAACGAAATGTCGATGAAGCAGGGTGCCCACCTGATGACCCCAATGACATACCTTACCCTCCTTTTTAACCACTCCACACCAATTGCTACTATCAAGAGTTTCCTACTAAAGGGATTGAAACATCTAGTTCTATTAGCTTTACTAATTATTGCGATTTTAAATATATTGCAATATTCTGCGATATATTGCAATTTATTACCTTTTTCCAACTTCAAATTATGTCCCCAAAGGAAAACTTTGACAACATCTGTTTTAACTAAAACAAAATATTTCTCAGTTTGTTTATCTCACTTCAGTTTTATTGTTGCAGTGCAAAATGGGATTGTCAAGTAGACAAACTGACCAACACTTTCATGAAAACCTGTCATAAATGTTGTATGCACCTGGCAAACTCAACTATTTGTATTACAGTCTAATCTAGTCCACCTTAAATAAATGTAAACAGGTATGCACTGCTGTGCTACTACAGGTATTTTGAACAGTGCAACTTGAAATTATACTAAAAAGTTGTGCAGACCCTTCAGCAATTGGGGCATTTGAAAGTAAATTACTGTTCAATTTAAATTATTTTAAATAAAACATGCAGTCTTACATCTAGGGATGCACCGAAATGAAAATTCTGGACCGAAACAGAAACCGAGAATTCTGGATGCACTTGGCCGAAAACCGAAACCGAAAATGCTTTGTAATGATTATTTATTATTTTATTAAATAATATAAAGTAATTTTGTAAGACTTTTTAAATTTAACTAAATTTTAATGATACTGAATTAAAAAAAAACACAAGCCAATAAAATAACCACACTTTTACTGAAAGTAACAATAAAACTCGACAAAATTTTATATTAATATTGGTAACACTTTACAATAAGGTTCATTAGGTAACGACTTTAGTTAATTAACTAAGAATGAACAATAGTTCTTCAGCATTCACTAATCTTAGTTAAAGATAATTTATCTCTCCGAATTTACGAACTAACAGTGAATAACTGTATTCTCATTAACTAACATTAAGAAAGATGAATAAATACTGTAAAAAATTGTTCGTTCATGATAGTTAATACATTAACTAACATTAACTAATGGAAACTAATGGACTAATTATCCAAATAATGTGTAGTCCTACAAAGCTATTATTATCAGAGCATATGAGCAGAGCATAGCGTCACTGAAGGTGACGGACTTTGCTTTTCCGGTGAGCATGAGCGGTACACGAGCGGAACACACATTCATAGATCGGAATATTGAGTGGAGCGTCAAACTGCAGATTGAAACCTGCGCGCTGAACACTGCCAGGCAGGGCGCGACGTATATACTATTATTATTATTATATGTAGCCTATATTTTCAGTGCATCCCTACTTACATCCCCTCCTTGTTTACAAATCCGAACTAAGTCCATACATCCGATTTAAACGTGGACGGAGCTTCACGTTTATGTGAATGCCCCTTAAGTATCACATACTTAAACAACGTATGCAATGTATGTACGCAGATACGTTGTTTACTCTTTGATCTGAACGTAAACAACGTATCCGCGTACATACATTGCATACGTTGTTTTTGTAAACAGTGTATCCACGTACGGTGTTGGTGACAAAGAACAGCATACATTGTTTACGTATGTGATACCCTCCAAAATGCCGCTATAGGGTGACGCGGAGGAGACAAATTGTTGAATAAAGTCGTTATTTTTGTTTTCTTTGCGTACAAAAATATTCTCGTAGCTTTGTAAAATTATGGTTGAACCACTGATGTCAAATGGATTATTTTAACTGAGCCTTGATCGTGTTAGGATCCTTGCTGTCTATGGGACGGTCAGAGAGCTCTCGGAATTCATCAAAAATATCTTAATTTGTGTTCCGAAGATGAACAAAGGTCTTACAGGTTTGGAACGATATGAGGGTGAGTAATTAATGACAGAATTTTCATTTTTGGGTAAACTATCCCTTTAAGGAAGAAAACACATACCGCGGACTTGTTGCTCCAGGTTTAGGATCACGTTGACGGCCTGGTGCAGGATGAGCAGTTTGGTCTGGGGTTTGTCGTTGGTCAGGTGCAGCTGGCACATGCGGCCAAGCTCTTTGAAGGCCTCATTGATGTCATGCACGCGCAGTCGCTCTCGTACGTTGTTCGCCACTCGCCGCTCTTTCTCCCGCTCGACCTTTAACTCTGGCGGCAAATCCTCATCATCTTCATTGTCTTGACTGTGAAGAGATAATAATATATATAACATTTCAATTCCGTTTTTTTAAACTGTACAATGAATTGAAAATGTATTTTATTTAAATAAAAAAATAAATAAAAAAAATCTATGTTTAACACGGTGACATGTAAGCTTTGTAGTCCAGGTGCCTGCTGAAGTATATTAGGTGTAAAGTTGTGTACATAAATTACTTCTAAATCTCTTAAATATAATACTAGTCAATTTTTGACACACCTGACAAATGTCTACTCATGCTAAATAGGGTTTGGATCTGAAGGCTTATGCATAAATGTGTGAAATTACTTCAGTAGATAAATATTTTGTCTATATACTGTCTACAGTACCACTCAAAAGTTTGGGGTGGATAAAATGATTCCATGACCCTCCAGAAATCATTGTAATATGCTGATTTGCTGCTCAAGAAAAAATTCTTATTATTATCATTGTTGAAAACAATTGTGCTACATATATTTTATTTTGCTTATTTATTTATTTTTGCTTGAGTAGGACTAGACAGTGTCCAGAATGCATGCAAACTCCTTCAATGTGGTTAAGCATCCCATAGTCCATTAGTGTTATTTCATAGTTCTGCTGACTTTTTTCCATTTTCACCATTTCATGATAAAGAATGAGAATTTGTGTCCAAACCTTTTACTGGTGTAGTATAGAAACATCAATTTTAACCCAATTTTAGATCAGGAGATGAATGAAAAAAATTCATATATATAAAAAAGACAAAAATACAAATGTGCTTTATATGCTGCTTTGCAAACAATTGTGCATTGAAAAACAGACAATTCTAGTTTATGCTCATGAAACCGTCCTATATAGGTCAGAGTCCCACCTGTGTAAAAATCATCTTAGTGTTTTAATGGCTTTGAATTTATTTTGTGCACAATAACACACAGACATTTAACCTTTAAAAGTGATCAAGTGTGCATCCGGAGTCTTTCACAAACATGCACTCTATGGTGGGAGATAGACTTACTCTTCTCCCTGGTCTGATACACATGAAAGGACTTGATGGGTAAACACCTCCTTTCTGAAAACAATGTGAGAGTTTGGGAGGGGGAGGGGGGAGAACACTATAAAACATGGTATTTGGGGTTTTGGGGAAGCCCAAACACTTTCAAATCAGGCCTGGTATGATGTGAGGAAACATTCGAACAAACACAGAAACTTATTAGACATTTGTTGTAGGCGATCAAATTATGACCATGCAGATTTGCTTCAAACCATCATGTGGTTGAGTGTTTATGGTTTCAAAATCATTCAGCCATTAGTTTAGAGCAATGCTTAAAAAAGCCATCTTGTACCTTGATCTGGTGCGAGATGGTTTGCTTTCCTTCTTCTCTTCCTCAGACTTATCGGCCACAGAGGAGTTCTCATCTTCCTCCTTGTCTTCCCTCTTAATATCGGACTTGTTTGATGAATGCGTGGCATGGGCCAAGCCTCCGGGCAAACCTGAAGCCAGAGACAGGAAATCGTTAAATGCATCCCGCTGAAACTCGCACGCAACTCTCAGCATTTGCATCTGTTGTTTACATGTTTGGTTGGTTTAAACAGAGAAATTGAAACTTTTACTCACTGTTAAAACCCTCTGGTGCTCCTCCAGGCTGTGGGGTGCCTGAAGCATGAGCAGACTGCAACAGGGTGCTGCTGGGAGGAAGGCAGGCATGGTCGTCATGATGGCTTCCAGCCTGCAGACAAGTGCAACAAGGGAGAGTAATTAGCACATATCAATACCCACAGGTGCATTTTTATTGTTTTGTGTTACACAACACCACATACAGCTCTAAACTAGAGGCCTGTTATCAGTGTTTGTGAAGCTAGTTTGAAACTGTAGTTACATGTTGTTCCAAACCCGTAAGACCTTCGTTCATCTTCATCAAATTGAGATATTTTTGATTAAATCTGAGAGCTTTCTGACCATGCTTAGACAGCAATGCAACTGACACGTTCAAGGCCCAGAAATGTAGTAAAGACATCGTTAAAATAGTCCATGTGATATCAGTGCTTTAACAGTAATTTTATGAAGCTACGAGAATACTTTGTGCTCAAAGAGAAAAAAAAAGACTTTATTCAACAATTTCTTCTCTTCCCTGTCAGTCATCGTCACGCGTTCATGGGAGGAGGAGCCAGCCTCGTTTACAAGCAGAGGACGATACACGCTGTAAAAAAAACTGTCTTCGTAAAGATGTCTGAAGATTTCGACAGGATGACTTTGAATTTTTTCATCAGCAGCACCACATGCATGCGTCATGGTACTCTTGTAAACGTGCATCAAAGACTGACACAGAAGAGAAGAAACTGTTGAATAAAGACGCTGTTTTTGTTTGTTTTTTGCACACAAAGTATTCTCATAGCTTTATAACGTTACAGTTGAATTACTGATGTCACAGACTTTAACAATGTTCTTACTACCTTTCTGCCTTGAACATGGTAGTTTTGTTGCTGTCTATGCAGGGTCAGAAAGTTCTCGGATTTCATCAAAAATATCTTAATTTGTGTTCCAAAGATAAACAAAGGTCTTAAGGGTTTGGAACGATATGAGGGCGAGTAAATTAGTAAAATTTTAACTTTTGGGTAAACCATCACTTATTTTACTCATAAGCGTTATGAGTAAAATAACGGTACGAGTAAAATTACAAATTTTACTAAAAAATATAATGCATTGTTGCTAGCATGGTTATCGGCCAACAACTATAACTTTTGTCATCAAGTTGATAATCCAAACAAATCACTGAATCTAGGGTGACCATATGTCCTCTTTCTCCTGGACATGTCCTCTTTTTGGACCTAAAAAAACAAAAAAAAATGCGGCCAGAATTTCTAAATCGCCCCAAAATGTCCGGGATTCGGCTTTTGCTTTCTACAGTCGCCATTCATTGTGTGTGTTTTTGTTTTAAAGCTCTGTGCGGGACTCACTCCCGCTGAATTTCTGACCATTACTGCCTGCTCCCACAAACATTCTAATATTGAAAATAATTTTCACTCATCAGGCAGCCGCTAACAATAATTGGAGTATTTAAATCACTTTGGATGCAGCTCGTGTTGGATGCAGGTTTGCCAAATCCACATTTTTTTGCACGGAACTGAAAACTGTTGCGGAGGGTTGATTTTTCTCCCATGGGTTAAAGGTTTGAAATATTGCATTTCAATCAAGTTCAATTAAATGAACTCCCTAAATAAAAAAAATAGGCAAAACATGATGCCTTGGATGCAAGTTCATGTTATCCATCTGTTTGGATCATACATAAGTGCCTACACTAACCATGGTAGAATGTTTGTGGCTTAGGGGCAGTCCTGGGTTGGAGTAGGCCTGAGGGAGACCCCCCATAGATCCACTGGATGTGGAGACGGCACTCAGTAGGCCGTGCATATCGGCATGGGCTCCAGGAATTCCCGGGGCCTGACCCACTGCATGACTTCGCAGCACATAAATGGCCTCCTCCAGCCGGTCTTCCAATTTGTTCTGCTGTGGAGAAAAATAATTTATATTTACCTTAAAGTATATATTACAAGTTATTAAACTGCAATAAATTTCTCTGTAAAATAAAAAGCAGATACTTTGTGCACAATGAGGCCAAAAACAATCATTAAGACAGCTAAAAAGTCAATATTTAAAAAAAAATAATATATATAAATAACATTAAAACACAATACATTTTGTTTAATGTTTTGAAGTAGAGCATTTTTTAAAACTATAATCTAAAAATGTTGTCATTGCTAAATGTGGTTTTACATCAGTGTTGTTATTGTTAAAGGGGTGGTTCATTGCGATTTCACTTTTTTAACATTAGTGTGTAATGTAGCTGTTTGGCATAAACAATATCTGCAAAGTTACAAAGCTGAAAGTTCAATGCAAACGGAGATATCGTCTTTTAAAATTCTGGCAGTTTAATGCCTACAAAAACCCTACCAGCAGTGAACCACCCCTTTAAGTAAAACTAAAACTATTAAAGTTATTGTTGTTAGTTGAAATAAAGTTGAAAAATTTTTTGAGATTAAACAAATTAGAAACGTTGCACTGGCAACTCAGAAATAAAAAAGTACTAAAATTACTAAAACTGAAAAAAAAGAGAGAAAATTTTAAGCTAAATAAAATTAGCGTGATAAAAATAAAAAAGCAAAACTACAAAATCTTAAAATATAAACTGAAATACCATAAGAGCTAAATCACAATATTGATTAATATTTTAATAGTATATAAATAATACTAAAATAACACCGTTTGTACATTTGTCTAATCAAAGAGTGAAGCTTGAGGCATTAACATTGGGGAATGTTCAAAATGGAACTTTATAAACCTACCAGTGCATGTAGTCCACCTTCATAGTTAGGAGACAGAGCAGTCTGGCCAGAAGCTCTCGACCACTGTGCTGCACCTGCTGAGGAGAACATGATATATAGCCTGAGTGTGAAACATCTGAATGCTGGTGTGCCACTACGACAGCAGATGGCACTCTAGAGCTTCACATTCACACCTTGACCTACACAAAGCCCATCAATCTAAAGAGAATGATTTATGATTCTTCAGGCTTCTTCCTCTGCGTACACGTTTTTGTCTTGGTATCTTTTAACACAAACTGATCTAATGAACCAGGTCGAGGTTTGACGGAATAAGACATCGTATCTGACTTACTTGCAATGCCCTGAGGGGAGGCCACAGGAGTGGAAGGAGTGGAGGAGAAGTTGTTGCTGTTGTGGTCCGAAGGATAGATCTGTCAATCAAAATCACAACTAAATATGAAGCACTGCACTCCTTCAACTATGGCTAATAATAATCCATACCCAAAGGATCACTGAAAGTCTGAATAATGCTATCCATCTTTGACTTCACATGTCCAAATGCTCTTTCATGGTGATTAATGAAAGCTCACTCACCGAAGCAAGAGCTTTTCCGATCTCATCACCTGAGCTGCCTGCGACTGAACCTCTGCTTGCTGTGGGAGAGAACGGGAGTACTTATTAACTCCATTCATTACGTCAATGTCACGACTATTCAAGTGATCCATAATCTGCTAAAAATGTCCATTCAAAGTCTGAATGAAAGATTGAAGGCCATTTCTTCTAAATTACAGTTCGAGTTCAGACTAGTCCAAGGCCAAAAATGATTTTACAAGAAGACTCAACTTAAAGATCCAATCTGAACTCAATTATAAGCTCATTTCACAACCTAGAGGACATTAAATTCAAACGACGAAGGTAATTTACCCAAAATGCTGTCTGATCCATTCATGGAGGATGTGTGGCTATAGGCTGCGGAGCCCGAATGGAAACCATTGACGTCCGCTCCATGCAAGGGATAGTTCTGTGGAAAATAAACCGTTACTGGAGCTTCTGAAATGAGTCACAATTTAAGCCCTTCTCCAAACCTTTCAGAAGACATACCATTCTGTCTTGTGGGTTTATCGCAGAGAAGGAGCCTGGCTGACTGATGTGTGGCGAATTCCCCAGCATAGCCGTGTATCCCGACTGACCTATGGATCCAGATGGGGCCCAGGGGTCCGAAGAAGAGTGTAGGCCCTCTGCGAACACAAAGGCAGATGGGCAGGATCAATAACAATCAGCACAAGAACTTATGTGGATGTCTATTCTAATCCAAAGAAAATCTGTCTTTGTGTATGCTCCTAATTTCAAATCAAACAAACAAAACTATTGCTTAGTCTATTTGCAAGCATGCCTGCGTGAACAACTTATGTACACATTAATATTAGAATTTACGGCTTGGGGAGATAAGGAAAAAACGATTATATTTCCCCATATACACACCTTGCATGTAAAAAGATCCTGGGTACACAGAACCAGGTTTGGAGCCTGGGTAGGCAGCACCATCACGAATATAGTCATCGCCAGAGGTGGCAGCATAAACCTGCATTTACAAACAAGGACATAAAGAAACATGGCGTTCACGGTAACAGGACAAAATATCCCTAGCGAATCGCCTGCACTTGAATGCACAACTGATATGGAGTCCATGAAGCTGGCAAGGGCATTGTGATTTTTGGTACAAATGACGTGGACGTGTGTTTCCATAGTGCCCCCTCAGATAAAGTGGCAGGGAAAGAGAACAGAGCATGCTGGGAAATGCGCCACGGCCATCTCATGGCACAGTCGGCGCTTCCTCTCGCACTCCCATGAGCCAAAAAGGAGAGGGAGGACAGCTACAGGGAGCACCATCACTAAGAGCGAGTCCAAATCAAGCTAAGCACACTGGGTGTTGACATATTCCATAATGTGGAAATGGAAAATAATATATGTTTTGTTTATAGTATTCACAATAAAATTATCTGGAACCGATAAACGGAACCGAATGATGATCGGAAATTCATCTGAATTCAGGAGCCGTGAGGCATACCTCCATACAGCGTATTCCCCAACAAGCACGTCTTAACACGTATGATTTGTATGTTTGTCTGTATGCACGCATACATGAGCGAGTGTTTGGGGGGGCGCTGGCGGGCGGGTGGGTCTCGGGCCAGCGGAGAATACAAATCCAGCAAAGCGATATTTCTCTTTTGCCTGTAATTTGATTTAACAGGGAGAAGTGGGATGGGAATGGAGAGATGCACTTCTAATTACAGAGCCATCTGCCTACTCCTGGAGCCCGTCCAACTCCACAGGCAGCTGGGCTGAAGAGGGGAGGGGTGAGAACAGTGGGGGGAGAGGTCTTGCTGAAGAAGTAGTAGGAGTGGAGCAAAATAGACTGGTTGATTATGTAGAAACCACATAAAAGAACAAATGAGGGAGGGGAAAAAACCTGTGAATGGCCCTCTTCTCTTAAGTTCACCAGGAAACACATCCTCACAATGATTTGTTGATGCACTTGAGAAGATCAAGGCAAGCCCAGACAAGTTAAGGATCAATATCCTTTAGTGCTTAGCCAAAGTTGAATTTGAACTTAAAAAAAACATATATTTTTAAATATCTCAAAAGTATGGCAAAGCTAGCAGGTGAGCATTGGCACAATCATTAGGGTATTATAATGCTGTGGCGGCACAAGAGGAAGCTATACTGAGCCGTAGAGTAGGATTCAGCAGGAGCTAGAATCCTAGCTCATCAGAAGCCATTAATCTGAGCTAAGACAAGCAAGAGAGAGAGAGGTGCAAGGGGACTCACAACTGGGTCACTTTGGAAGAGGGGGAGGATAAGGTCTAGCATTGGCGAATCTGAAGGATCACGTTTAGGGAGGGGCTTTAGAGGGCAAAGTGTTGAGCTTATGTGGATTTAGATCAAGAAACAACGGTTACTCTTCCCATGACTCGAAAAAACGGGTATGGCTACTTGCATGTTTGTTCAAGTTAACGCCGATTTGCAACGGTCAAAGGTTCAGAAATATTATGGACCTTAATCATGGTAGACATAGTTTGATGCAAATGAAAATACATACCCTGTTCAATCATAAGTCTGTCAACTGGAATGTTTATGGAAGGATTTGCCTTAAATTTTTATTCGTTAAACGTTTGACACAACGGTACAATCTCTGAGGACTCTTACATCTACTCCTCACAACAATGTTCTTGTTTGTTCACGTGGTCACACTTTATTTGAAGGTCCAGTTCTCGCCATTAACAAACCATTAATTACGACTTTTGCCTCAATAAACTGCTAATTTGTTGTTTATTAATAGTTAGTAAGGTAGTTGTTAAGTTTAGGTGTTGGGTAGGATTAGGGATGTAGAATATGGTCATGCAGAATATGTGCTTTATAAGTACTAATAAACAGCCAATATGTCAATAAAAGGCATGCTAATAAGCAACTAGTTAATAGTGAGAATTTGTCCCTATCCTAAAGCGTTACCGTTCACATCATATTAAAAATGTTTCTACTCTGAATGAGGTCCATAGCAGGGGTGTCCAATCCTACTTCGGCACCTTCCTGCAGAATTTATCACTAAAAACTTCCAGGCAGATGTGTTGGAGCTAAACTTTTGGGCTAACATCAAACCATTTCAGATGCCACAAATGCTTGAACTCAATTCTAGGAGTTCCTGTAATGGCCACTACATCATGTTTATGTAATTACGATTTTCTAAAGGGCAGGACTTTGCTGATTTAACAGCTGTGTAATTCCTCACAATACTGATCATTAAATTGAAGTTGTAATGCAATACTTTTAGTGGGAAACATGTAAGAATATTTCAGAAAGGTTACTCACTGAAGATGGCAGTCCTGGCGGCTTCCTGATCTTTTTTGGTTGTGGATCTGTGAAAGAGATCACATACATGGTATTCTTTCCTTTCATCCTGATTGATCTGATGCAAGTCTAGTAAATGTTGCAAGTTATTTACCCATGCTTCCCTCTGAGGGGCGTCTCCGGGGGTTGTTGGGGTATAATTGGTAAAACTGTGAGCCAGACTTCAATCCGGATGGAGACATGGCATCTGCAGAAGGCATGGCCATGTCTGAGGGTAGGAACCCTGGCTATAGGGAGCAACAAGATGGCAGATTTAAGCACTTTAAGTGACTAAAGCACTTTCAAGTGTTGCTCAAGAATTGATTCAACTTACCTGGCCCCCAAAGGAAGAGTAAGTGCCCCTTTCATTCTTGCCTGCAAATACATATGAAATTTGAGTGAACCGATCTCACTCAGCACTTTAAATATAGTCCAAATGTCACAATTATTGGAAGAAATGGAAGTAAATGCCACAACATGGAGGTTGAGTGAATGTTCTTGGTGAGGCCAAAGAGGAGCTCAACTACCCTGAGCAACTTCCAAGCAACCCATGGGGCAGTTTCTACATTGGCGGCTTTGAGATAAACCAACCAGACGTTGGTAAAACTCACCACTAATTCCTGTGCCAAGGAATGGGGAAGATAGTCCATCATGTTCGTTGAAGTGTGAGCCCTCTCCATAGCTCTGGAAAAACCCAAGACAGAAGCAGGTCAAAACAATAAAACATGTCCCAACAACACCTTTAGATGAGAAACAAGTCATTGGGTCTACCTGTACCTGGTTAAAAGAAGGACTGTTCTGCTCTCCAGCAGCCCAGGGACTACTGCGTTCTTCCATACCTACAAAGCAATTGATCACAAACTCTCAGACCAATACTGCAATTTTGGCATGCACTAAACCTTCACATCAAGATCCCTTTTAATTCTCCTTTCATGCTTTAAGGCCATTGAACGTTTGGTGGCTGGTTCTGTGCTTGTCAGACAGCCTCTGGATCTCATCCAAAACCATCACACCACACTAATATCCATGTCATTCAGCAAGCCTTGACATCACTGACCATAAAGGGAGCATTCATTCAGTCATTGGATCTCATTAAGACAAGTTGTGTGTGTGTGGGGGGGGGGGTGCATCACAGCAAGCAGAACAAAAACAGGCTGATCAAAGAATTGCAAAATTAGCATCAATGTACATTTGGGAGTGGAGACCCATAGGGACAACACAGGTCTCAGTACAAGACATACAAGATACGGAGTGTTAAAATGTTCTCCAATATGCTTTATATGTAGAAAAATGGATATTGGAAAACATTGCGGCAACATTTGTGTACTGGAGCAGAAATTTCTCATAAAGCATTCCCCTCTGCCTCCTGTCTTACGCCTTAATGCAAAGCTCTCCAAAGACACATGGCTTAATTGCATGCTGATTTGCATAATTGTGCATATTAATGCAGTTGGTTTATGAATATTCATATTCGCCTTTTGATTTTTTTTTTTTAGGTCTAATTAAAAATGTGTGAGAGAAGAGGGGGTCTCAGCCAGAGCGGCCACTGAAGGCTGAGCATGAGTGATGAAGCTAACAAAGCAGAGCAAATAGCGACATCCACACTGACAGCCGTGATCTATGGAGCCCACGCAGGCAGCATGGGAAATGAAGTGGGCACTGACTGAGTGAGTGAAAGAATCTCCCTGGCAGAATCATCTTATGTGGGGAAAATGAAGTGGCAGAGATACAAATTCAGATTCAGAAGGACAATATAAGATGTTTAACATGCCGAATGGTTTTGGATTGGATTTGCCAGACCGTTACAAATGAATTACCACATTAGTAAACTAAACCGGTGCTTTTTCTGGGCAAATTTGGTTTTGTATATAAAACTTTTTTTTTTAAACTTTTTTTTTGAGGATACAATGTGATTTATATTTTGAGTTATTGGCCACTTATTTGCTGGAAGCATCAAAATGCAATTCTACAAAGACAAATCTGACATTCAGTCAAGCAGGAACTGATTCCATTTCCTGCGTTGAGGAAAGATCATTTCCTTTATACACTCCTTCAAATACATCAACTGCACAGCGTGCAGTTATTCAAGTTCAGATCGCAGCAGATATCAAAAGTGAAGCAATAATGTAGGGATGCACCGGAATGAAAATTCTAGGCCGAAGCCGAACAAAATGAAACACTGGGCCGAAGGCCGAATACGGTTTTTCACCATTTTTGAGACTTGAATCAGGCATGTATTTTTTACTGTACAAATAAAGGCAGCCTTGCTGAGCAGAAGAGACTTCTTTTAAAACATTAGAATATATTACAGGTCCCAATTTGAACGCTATGTGTGAATGTTATAATAAATGTATTAACAGAGCTGTTGTAGGGTAATTATTATTATCATTATTATTGTCTTAATTTTTCATTTTATTTTTCCATAACGACAGTAAAATTACAATACTATCATTTATGGAGTTGTTGCTTTTTCTCGGCTTTTATTTTGGCAGAAACCCGCAGGAAGATCTCAGTGCTTCTTTTTGTTGACAAAAAGCATGCAGATTTATAAATGATTCTCATTACGAATTTGGGAAGATGTTTGTCGCACGTGTCACATTGTCAAATGCCTTTAAAAAAAAAAATTTCACAAAAATGTTACGGAGCAACTGATGAGTAACTGTTTTAGCGCTTTGGATTTTGAACCCTGGCGCCGCGAGCTCATAATACATGCAATTCGTGCGTGCATTAGAAAATATAACATTCTGCAGTTTATTTACTAATCGTTTCAGGTAATTTCGCGATTTCAATCATCATACAGTAACCTAACAACCAGTTAGGTTGTAGCGCGTGCCTCTATTTTAATCGCATTCGTCATTGTTCGGTTCATATTATTCGGCCTTTTCGCTTATTCGGCCAAATAATTTCGGTTGCCGAATATTCGGTGCATCCCTACAATAATGGCTTGAGGTGTGCGTGTAAATGTGCTCGCATCTCAGGGATGTGAGCAGGGGGGAAATGGGCTCTGTCCTGTCCTAATGCTGTCCTCAGTGGGTGATGTGTTGGGCAGCTGTGGAGGTGAGCAAGAGGACGCCTGGTGAAGTCCTCCCATGCAAAAAAATCCCACAAACACCATGGCTTTGCCCAAGGAGGGGGAGGACATGGCTTAATGCAATTAGCACCCTTCCGAGCACTTTTGTCTTGAGGAACAGATGCACTTCTGAAGGCCACTGCTTCCTCTAAACACGTCCTTAATTTGGGGATCTTCTGAATAAATAGCAGAGGACAGTCAGAAGTTTAACTCCTGGCCAATGGTTTAAAGTTGAAAAACAATCCATGCAAGGAAGATCACATCTTTTGTTAATTTGGAATACTTTATGATCTTTAAGGAATGTTCTGGGTTCAATAAATGTCAAGCTCTATCAACAGCATTTGTGACATGTTACCACAGAAAATAAAATGTCCTTTGTCCTTTAATTCTTTAAAAGCAAAATAAAATAGGAAAGGACAGGGTAATCCAATAAATGTTAAAGTACAAGGTTTTGAAGCTAGGTCCTAAACATGAGACTAGTCGGAATACATTGCAATAAGCTTGCCTGTGCAAAAATATATAGAGTACTTGCAATTCCTGCCATGACCATGTAATGTCAAAAATGTGTGTAACTTTGGGACAATGTGCAAAAGAAGGACTTTTTACAGAGAAGATTTTAAACATACAAATTATATTGGAAACTAAAAGTTGTCTGGTTGGAACAGTGGTCTCAACACAAAACTGACAACTTTACAGTACAAAAAAAATACACAGTTTAAAAGGAACACTCCACTATTTTTGAAAATAGGCTCATTTTCCTAGAGTTAAACAGTTGGGTTTTACCATTAGCATCTCGCTCAAAAATGACCATAGAGTTTCTATATTTTTCCTATTTAAATATTGACTCCTCTGTAGTTACATCGTGTACTAAGACCGATGGAAAATGAAAAGTTGCTATTTTCTAGGCCGATATGGCTAGGAATTATACTCTCATACTCTTAGCGAGATGCTAATGGTCTAATCAGATTCAATGATCTATGCTAAGCTACAGCTAAAAGTGCTACGCCAGAGATCGGCTGAATGGATTCGAAAACGGTAAAACTCAACTGTTTAACTCTTAGGGGAGTTGGAAAATGAGCCTATTTTCAAAAATAGTGGTGTGTTCCTTTAAGGATAAACACTAGCATTTTTTTAAATCCTCAAAATACTTCCTTAAAAAAAAAAAGGGTTGAGGTAAAATTCTTTTTTTGTGGTAATCCAGAACATGTTCACAAACTATGCCGACAGATCTTAGAATGTACTGAACCCATAATTCTGTTTAAATGAATAACGCTGAGGAACTGTCACTTGGATCTTTGCTTCTCAATAGCGAATCTAAGAACATGTCATATCCTGTTATACCGAGTTCACAGGGTGAGACTTATGTTGACTGATGTGGAGACCTTCTAGAAGCATCTCACAAGTGATGATTTAAGAGTCGGGGTCACCTCGGTGTCAGGTAGCTCTTGCAATAAAAATCTCAAACTGAGACATTAGCTTGGCCCTGCTATGTAATTGGCACTTTAGGCCGCCAAAGACCGAGAATGAAGCTGGTGATCTTTCACAGCGTTTCTTTTACTGTTTTCATGCGGGCCTCCTGCGGGGTGGTGGGAGGTATGAGAGAGCTTTGTTTCAGAGAGGGTCCATTTCCTGTCAGTTGGCAGGGGGAGAAAGTGTTTTCTTGTGTGGGGGGAGGAGTGTTTTACGGGGAGGAGTGTTTTACGCGGTGGAGTGGGGGAATCGTTTGGAGACCGCAAGGCCTTTATTTAAGTCTTTGTTCTCAGATTGTTCTTATTCAAGGGTACTGTTTGGAGTGTCGATTGGGAGACAGACAGACAGACTGGAAAGACTCGAAGAGAAACACATGGGACGTTCATGCCTTTGACAGCTTCTGAAACAATCTAAACTGGAGCAACACAATCCAACAATGGTTGCAAAAATAACACTTTTGTGAGTGATGTGCAACTGGTTATAAATTAAAAGATGACAAACATACAAACAAAACAAAAGACAATGAGATGTTTTGGGCAGTTAAAATGTTCTGGACAAAAATGTGATTATAAACAGCAATGCAACCAATCAGTCACTCCTCTTGACCTAACAAAGTTTTTACGACGTACAAGTTTGTGCAATAGGTTCTTTAACTAAACAACCAGTTCAAAGGGATCCAAACTGCCCCGAGCTTTGACTCTGGATATACTACGGTGAATTCATAAAAGAGGGGGTTTAGGAAAACAAGAAGAAGCATGTCCTTTTCTTCTATTGAGAGGAACGAGCACTTAGCAACTGGCCCAAACATCTCCATTGCTATAAAAAACACAGCTTTAAACTTATGAAATGCACAAATATGGCAAATTCAAGTAATATGTGACACTAAACAGGAAAAGGCATGCGTTTAGACTTACCTGAACCACTAAATTGACTGCTAGCAAGTGTGGTAGGCCTGTTCTTCCCATTGGCCACAGGGGGTGCAAACATCTAAGGCAGAAAAATAAGCATAGAAGCATATTACGACAAACTCACATCAACAGGTGCCCACAGACAGCGATTTTTCAGCATTATTGGGGATTCACGCTCTATGACGTCAAGCTTAGCTTGTTCAAAAGTTTAATGCTAAAGGTCATGTCACCTTTGCCACATATAACCCACTAAAATGGTTCAATCTGAAAGAAACCCTTTCTCACAAAGTAGTATGGCTCTTTGAAGATGCATCTTGTCTTGTACTACAAAGAATTCAAGGTTTCATGGAAAGGGCTGAAGAGGATCTGTTTATATGGATGGATGATGCCTCTTTGTTTTTGAAGTGCACAGAGAAACCCGTAAGCATCAACAGTGCCAGCCTTGCATGGTGCATGAGAGGGACTTTCTGGTGTGGTAGACATTTTTCACAATGTGAACCACCTTTTAAACCACGAGAAAGAAGATGCCAAATGCATAAGCTCCGTTTTTTGTTTTTTTTTAACAAAGGTTCAAGGCTGGAAAATGAATGAGATATGAGGGAGTAACTAAACCATCAACAATTTGTAATTAGATGAGATCATTATACATTTGATCTGGCACGTCTGATTATCAATGTATTGTCTTAATTGATTCACTGCTTCAGTAGATGGCAATTTTCCAATGCAATAAATTAAGCATGGTCGAGCCATTCAATGAATCAAGCGATTAACATTTTTATATTTGCCATTTTTCTATGCTATTTAGGAAAGCATGACCGCCAAGAATAATCACATTTTAACAACAGGTGAAATGAGAATAATAAATGGAAGGATAAGGACAAGAGGGGATTGAGCGATGGTTATTGCTATATGCTGGAGATGTTTCAAATGGCAAACTGCACTTCTAAGGACCCAGTTGGAGACATGATTTAAAGATTCATTATAATGTTAGCCACCAACAACACAGCAGGCATTGTGACGTGAGATTCGATCAGTATGAAGTGCTATGAAGAAAAACGGCTATCCTCTGACTACAAGGTCAGATTTTGTTGAAGCAAATAAAGGAATCATAACGCGATTCTTTACGAGAGAGAGTTTTTGTCTAGATCAGTAACAAAGACTCCATAGTCTCTTCCTTACTGCACTGAAATCCAACAGGTCACTGAGTTCCTTATCTGTTCCCACTGTAGCCATTCTCTGGTGCGCCTCGTTCATACCCCTCGGTCTTTAAAGCACCCTGCAGAAGAAAACCAGAGAGAGACAGCTGGGGTGAGCTATCTAAAGACCAGATGAATGAGAAAAGCAGTGATGGTGTGCATGTCGAATAGTAAATAAAAGTGAGAGTGTATTGTACTCATAATATACACATCTCATAAGAGTACATTACCAGCATTTCCATGTCTCAAATGAAAAATGGGGCTAAATTTAATTAACTAACTATGCATTGCTTCAGGAGGCTGTATGAAATGCCAGTGCCAAGTCATTATCTTTGGCCAAGATTTAAATTTTAAATCTAAAACTTGCTTGATAATTAATTTGGCCGAGGCCATCCTGTATGTTTTACATACTACAGTGTTGCGTTACAAGGTTTTATTTTGATTGTTTTCAAAGAGCCATTTCTTCTATAATTTCTGTCAATCTTATTATTAATATTGTTGTGTTATGCAACCTAGGGCTGGGCGATATGTCAAAAATATATTATCGATAATCGCCTTAAAAATATTGCGATATCCGATAATATCGTCTACCCAAGCCCCACCTCCACCACTCCCCGCCCCCGCCGAGACAACATTGCCGACATGCACCATAAACACACACCAGGTTCAGTTTGGTCTTAATTATTGCCACAAAGTTTGGTTTTACTTTTCTTCGTTTGTGCTTAAACTAACAGAAAACATTAGCTTTGCTGTTATGTTGGTGTTGCTAATTTCCACTCTGTTCTTATCAAATTTGTGTTTGAAATGAATTTCGCTTTGTGAGGAGAACTGTTGAGGAAAAATAATAGAACCCAATTTTAAGTTCATCATAGTGAAGTTGGACACTCTGGTGGTGATTGTAAGAATAAATGCATGTCGATGTCATATAGTAATGTCTTGAATAAAATATTTATTATTTTATTTATAAATATTTTTATTTTCCGACGTTTCTCTTTCTTTTTGGCATTATCGCGCGTGTAGACATTTCATGACGGTTGGTTTAATTTCCTTGATTATAACAATTGTAGCGTTGTTTTTAAACTTGTAGTCAAGCTATAACGGAGGCTATTTAATATTTATCATACATGTCTAAAATCATGCAGGGATTAAAAAAGAATTCGGAGCAAAAACGTTAAGGTTTTTTTTTTCCTTTCTGGTAGCCTAGTTCGGAGTTCTCTTTTGGCCCATTTTTTACGAAATAAAAATACCTGCTTTATTTATTTAGAAGCAGGGTAATTTAAATTGTATTTTTGTATTTGAATTTTTATAATTTTTTTAATAAATCAAAATACAACTGCCAAGATATAATATTCAGTGTTGGGCTGCCGAAACTCCGAATGCGTGCATGTTGAGGGGCGAGCTGAGAAGCCTACTAATGTTTTCATCCGTTTGAAGAATTTTTTTTATTAAAAATTATTTAATTTAATTAATTTAAAAATAAATAATTATTAGAAATTAAGAAAATCTGAATTAAGAATTTATAGTGCTATATCTCAGCTTCATTAAACATAATTATACAAATTATAAAAAATCTGTAAAAATAGGGCACTTTGTGTGCTGTATAAACAAGCTGTGAAGGAATTCGTGTATTTTAATTATAACTGTCATGCTGTGTTTAAATAAATATTCAGAAACACATGCAGTGCTACTATTTGTCTTTTTTTTGTTTAACTTTTATTAAACTGCAGATCAAAATAGAATAGGCCTATACCCTAAATAAGGATAAATTATATTGAAACGCATCTCCAAAATAATCACATACACGTTGCCATTACAGTAGTCAGCGCCGAACAACAGGCAAATAAAATATAAACTGAGGTTACAAAAGTGATTCAGTCAAGATCAGTGAGGGATTTTCTTTTCTTTTGTTCTTTGATTAACATTAATGATTGGCGGCCGCAGCTGTTGTCAATGCACAGATCTAATACACCCTTGTTTTCTTTCTCAGCTCTTTGCATTCATTTAAGACATAACTGATTGTATTTATGGGATATTTTGATATAATTCTGTGTATTTGTCCATTCGAATGTGTAAGAATGCGAGAAAGAGAGCTCAATCTAGTGTTCGCGTATATAAGAGGCGGCTTTTGTGCGCAGCACGAAAAACAGTGCGCGAGTGCAGAAGCGCGTTCTATTTCGTCTTCTTGCAGTTGAATCTTTTGAAATCACAATAAATGTGCATACAGGAATCGAGAAGCTGAAACGAAATTTAATTTTATAACAAGTAATTTGATTTCTGACCTTACACATCTGATCTGATTTCCAAAATTGGAATAGCTTTTCGATTCCCAACCCTCCTACTAAATTATTTCATTCTTGCATGCAAAAAAGCCCCATAGTCACCATACAGGTTATGTAAAATATTTTTTGCAACTCACTAGGTTTATCATTTGTCTTTTTTTTTCTGGTAACGCCGATAATCGTCTGTTACCTGACTGTTGACATCGACATCGTGATACTTAGGAGACATAATCGACATACGATAATATCGTCATATCGCCCAGCCCTAATGCAACCTCAGCACAGCAATGAAACTAAATGCTATCACAAGTCAATAAGTTTCCATGAAACCATGATATCAGCACATGGAACATGCAAATCAATGTTCTTAACTTATTGTACATCTCTATCCTGTGCATGATTTATAGTTATCTGGCCAGTTGATTTGAATGAAAATGAGATCATCAAACAAGGGGGGGGGGGCGGAGGATTTAAACAACCTCCAAATGCAGTAAAATATTTTAAGTAGGGTAAACGTACCTATTAAGCTCACATTCCCATTAAGCACACTTCCATTTTTGAGCTCAGATTATAAAAAGAAAAAATAATGTATTATCATACTTGATGTCTTAACCAATTGATGTGTTTGTTACTACATACTTCCTGTAATTTCAAGTCAATCAGATCAGTGCACTGAGATATGGGTATCCATGTGTTTACACTGTCTGGCGGCCATTTTGAAAGCTGTCTGAAAACTTTCACCAAAAGAGGAGCCCCTTAAATGTGCATTTTTTTTAGATGTTAAAGATTTTATTTTGGGTAAATTTCACTACTTTCTGTAAAATTAAGAGATTAAGGTTTTGATTTTTGCAGATTATAACCTAGAACTTGGATGTGGGAAATTACATTAGATCCAAAAGATAGTTTTAGCAGCATAGCGCAGATGCTACAGAACACAGTTAGCTGACTAGCTGTATAAGATTGTGTGCTACGCTAATATATTACTTCACAGGCATTACTGGCTTGTACTTTTAAATCTATAATATTATAAATTGACCGTTTACTGCGGGTCTGTGGTTTTATACTGCTGTAATTTTTAAAGATTTCATGTTATTTTAACTGAGCTTAAAGGGTACACTACTATGAAACTCACACAGCTTCAGTGTGACATCAATAAGAAAAAGTATAAATCCATAGATATTGTTGATAATAGTTGTTCATAATAAAATATGTATGAACTTAATACATGACCTGGATTATTTATTATGCAAAATCTTGTCATTTTAATAAATATTACATGAAATTTATAAAAAATGGTTGCTGCTCCAATTAAGCTCAGTGTGCTCTCTTTAAGCTCTTCCACATTGAACGTCAATGTAAATACTTCATAAACAGACATTACAGATAAACTGATGGTTGTCACTTTAAATTAATCTCTATAAAATGGTAATTAACTTATTTTCACAACTTTAAGATGACAAAATCTAGACATAACTATAGTTTATGCCTGAAGATGAAAGAGGCATGTCATCCATTCAAAGAAGGAGCCAACAGAAACCCGTCTTATCTGTCCAGGGAAAAAGCAACTAAAGGCTGGAATAAAATACATGACTTTTAAAATTTGAACAGATTTTTAAAACACCGGTGTATGATCTGATCCTCAGTCGTTTAGTGTATGATGGCCAGTTTTCCTTTGTGACTTGTAAATAGTCACAAAGGAAAACTGGGTATATTACACTAAATGACTAAGGATAATACACTACCAGACCTTCAAGTTGTTCCGATCACCACAGACTCATCCAGAAATGTGTGCATTGTTGCTAGAAAACACGTGAAATGAAATTAAAACTATGTGTTTTAAAATCTGCTGAAAATATCAAACATATTTGATCTCCTCCGACTGGATGGAATCAAAGTCTGAAGCAAAAAAAAATCAGAGTCTGTGATCATACACCACATGATTTTCTATGGAATCAGTCGACTCAAATCTACAGACTGGCTCTGACCTTTGGCAACTAGCATCAACTTCTCCAGATTGTAAATTGGTGGAAAATTTGAGCAAAAATCATGTAGTGTATTCCAACCTTAAGAGACGATAGATAAGTTGACATCCATTTAATAAGAGGCTTCATAATGAGGCTAGTTTCTGTGTTCATCCCCATGAATGAAATGTTTTATTGGTTTGTTTTATTTGATTTTTGAATATGTGTTACTTAGCTGAACACGGACTAGTCTAATGGCGCTTTTCCACTGCGTGGTACGACTCGGCTCGGTTTGCGTCACGTTTTGGTAACGGTACGGTTCACTTGGAACCCCAACCGAGGTGGTACTAAAAAAAAGTACCAGGTACCAGACCCAGTGGAAAACCCCCCAAAAGTGAACCTTACCGAGCCGTACCGTACCGTGCCGTACCATGCAGTGGAAAATCACCATAGATGTTGCAATGTGCTTAAATGACATTTCATTATGAATATGTAACTGATCATGTTCTTGTGCACTAAAAATGTCTCAACATAGATTTTGGTGAGCTTAATAGGTACGTTTACTCTACCTCTTTTACTAGAATACAATGAAATTGTCAAATATTGGTAAAAAAATTTACTTTTTGTCAGAAACATCTTAAGGGGTCCTGTATGCTATTGCATGCCAACAGGTGGTGTGCTTTAGCAGTCCTGCTTATTAACCATTCGTTTCTCTTCAGCAGTCTGATTATAACACTATTACAAGCCAATAGCTAAAATAAAAGTGTTTTTACACCTTGCAAGTACATTTTATTCACACTGCTTTCTCGACTCCCAAACAAAAACAACTAGGCCTAAATGACATGTAGAAAGCGGCCCCTCGGTAAAAAGACAAGATAGTAGCCTAACAGAGGGCCCAAATTCCCCTCAAGTCTTTGCCAGCCAAAACGAAGCCAAACCACAAGTAAAAATATATTTTACTCAGTATATTAGCACATTTCCATGTAAAATGTGACAAACGTCTCAGATCTGAGAAACATGAAGCGATTTTAACTGGTATGAACAGCCCTGGCTGAAGAATGAGGTGAAGGCCTTATAGTAGCCTACTTAGGGTTGGGAATCGAGCACCGTTTCTTTAAAAACACACGGATCCGAATTATTTATGACCTTCAATTCATTTAGCAGATTTTGATCATGCAGATCTCTGTAATCTGACAGTATTTCCTATTATCAATTTAATCTAGAGCGACCAGTCCAATCCGATTCCTGAACCAGTGACTCAGTGAGTCGATTCTTTTAAGGAATTAATTTAGCTCACTTACTGAACCCCAAGTTATTCATTTAGTTTTGATTTTAAGTTAACTAATAATTTATATAAGCATATTACTGACTGGTCGTTCGTATGACAACGCGCAAATAAGACAGGCCTACACATCATGATATGTTATATAAATGATGAATGAAACCGGTTACCACCTTTTTGTTTGTTTACTATTTGCATTCAAATTGGGGCCAGTTTTATTATGCATTTATGATAGCTGTAAAAGTAAAAAAAATAAATAAAAAAAAAACACCTATGCGAGAGATGTAGCTACATTTATTTATGATTTATGTCATGTCGGTTCTGCTGAAATCTGGTGCGGTCGCATAATCTGCCAAGAAACTGCTTAGGGCTGTAAATGCAACAATCATTTTCCCCTGATATTATTATATCAACATCATTAAAATCGTCAAGAAATGAGAGAAACTGAAGCAGAATCGCTAAATTCCTTACTATTTCCATCCCTAACGGTAAAGGTTCCTATCACACACACGATCAAGGGAAAGGAGTAAGGTGACACTAAAAACAAGGCAAAACACCAAATTAAAACGTATTTCGTAGTTAAAAAGGTAGCTAAATTGTATCTTTAGTCCTGTATCGCAGCAGCCATTGGTGGGTAGTTGTAAGAGAGCGCAACAGTGCACTAACAACCAATTTAATGTAGGCTACCCGAACTAAATCCACGTTATGAATAAAAAAAGCGCAAAATACACGGCGAAAATGTCTATTTTAAACCCCATCTCAATTACTGAGTGTGCAAACACGTTTAAACTAGAGTTTAGTCACGTCCCTTTCTTTGTGTAAGTAGGGCTAAGCTTCACCCAGACATGAACAATGTCAATATTTATTCTCAGTTGTAAACTTATTGTATTCCGATAGCAAACCATTTCGAAAACCAATAGGCCACATCGATCGCGCGCACGTACTTTTGATAAGGACGGCATTATTATCAATATTAAGCAGCCGTCGGGCCGATCATTCTAAATTATTCATGTGTTGTGAGATAAACGCAGAAGCTTGGCTGGGGATTAAGCAAACGTTAATAAAAGTACCGCGACAAAATGTCAACTTTTCCTCAAGAGACTCGCGATTTGATGAAGCCGAGTGGGGGTGGGGGGGGCGAGGAATTTCCTGCCAAAAATATTCACCGAAGTAACTGAATTAACCAGAAAAAGCAACCCTGGATACAACACAGCGCTTAAATTCAGCAGGAAAATTATACATTTTAACAAGTCTACCAAATTAAAGTAAATTTCATCTAATTTGTCAATTAAATTTGCACTGACAGCTCGCGCTCAACTAGTCACTTAAACTCATACGCGCCCCACAAAACTAATCCTTACTTTGATAAAAGGACAAAGGAGTCGTTTCTGTTAGCATAGAACTGGGTTAAAGACCACCAGCACAAAACTGGGCAGGACTTCCCACCAACACCACAGCCTCTAAGCAAGAAAAAAAACTATGCATCCCCCCACTTCCATAAGCACACATCCCAAAAACTTGCTAAACGGAACTTCAATATGCAATTGTGTGACTCTCTGATGTAAATATGAGACTAAAATGATTCAACTTACTAACCCAGTAAAACTCGACAAAGGGTCAAAAGCATTACCTCTGATTATCAGTCGTTTTACATCCAGCAGTAAAAAATAGAAAGGTTGAATCTCGAAGGGAAAAACCATAAAACTTGAAAGAATTTGAAGCACGGCGCATTAAAGGCTGATAGGCGCAACAATGTGTTATTCCTCCTTTGACATCGTCCTACAAAACACCAACGTCGTAAATACAATGTTGCAGGTCTGTATCCAAAGAATCCCGCGCCACGACTTCCTTTATATTGTTACAATTGAGGTGAATTCATTCGTCTAGTAGACATCTTGACCACCTCCATCCACATTGTGAGCAGCAACAATATATTCCTCCGCGTGGAAAGAGGGGCCTCAAACGCTTGGGTGTCCAGTTTCATGTGCCCAGAGGAGTCGAGAGTTTTTTCGACAAGGTCTACGGGTTAAAAAACACGGGTTGGTCAGGACGCGCAGAATGGTTGTTAGTCATTTATCAGACAAAATTGAATAGGTGTAGTTTAAGGGGAAAATAAATGGTAATAGGAACTATAACATCCGGCGGAGGTTGACGGTAGAAAAGTAAGCGGCATTTATACAAGAGAAGCAAGAGATGAAGAGATAAACCCGCATGCTAGTAGCCAATAGAAAGGCGACAGAAAGTGACAGGCAGTTGGAATGTCCAATAGTCACACGTATATTCACTCCAGACCCGCCCCTTTCGTGACGAACACTGTGTGTTCAGTGAGGCTGGCTGAAGGGGCTAGAGCACAGCCTGCGTGACATCATTTTATTAGTCTGGTGAACGTCGACGCCCGCGCGTTGTATCGCTAATTTGGCTAAAAACGTTCGTAAAAGTGAATTCAAAATCGGATGCAGAAACGTTAACAATATATATATATATATTATTTGTTTACTTAGCACATTTCTGTCCGAATTCTTTCATTTGGTTACTTGCAAACATTCAGACAGCCTTTAATATCCTTCAGTGTGGATGAGAAAATACTAAATTCACATTGGGGTCTTAGCGACTACTAGTTAGGCTAGTCTGTAACTAAATCTAACTGCATACTTGATTTGGTCACACCATTTATTCTTAAGGTAAGACTTTGCTAAAGTAAGTTGTGAACATTATATGATGTCTGCCTTTATTGTTCTAAGAAGCCTTCAAACAGAAGTAGTGTTTACAAGCTTTGCATTTCAGTATCCAGTTAAACGGTTGATATTTAAATGTTGTTGTTTTTGCCTCACGTGACTGTTAACAGTAACGAATTACATTTTTGTCCAAATATAATACAAAATAATCATAGCATATATTAAATGTTACATTTAACATTCTTGAACAGTATTATTCAGTGGTTATAAATAAAAACATATATATAAAATTTACACTGCCAACTAACTTGGCAAAGTTACGTAAACCCTTAATCATTACACTACAACCACCCCATGCAAAATATAATCATAATCATAATTTATGTTTTTACAGAACTAAGCTGGTATGTGGAACCAAAACAAAATCGAAGTCGCATTGATCATCACACCAAATACTTTGCCCTACTGAGCATGTACTTTCAGTCATAAATCGTGTCACAACCACAGAATCGTTTCCGTCTCTCCCTGTGGCTGATTCATAGAGCTGGTCTAGTGAGGGGGGAGAGGAGCATGGGATCACAGAATACATGGATCATAACAGAGTGTGTAGTGGGGGGATGGGATGAGAGGCCATGCGGCATGGCTTAGAAGAAGAGAGAAGGATGATGGCAGGAAACAACAGCTGAAGAGGTACAAGTCAATTGTAGATTTCATACCACACCAATCCCACAGAAAGGAAGAACCAGAAAGAGAAGAAAATGCAAGAAATGAGGTCAACCAAAGCAAAGAGACGAGTATAAATGTTGGTGAAGATCATGGAAAATGTCATGAAGGCGGCTTAAATTCCAATAGTGGATACGTAAAGCCAATTATTTAGTTAAATGTCAAAGAGATAGAACAGCTGAGAAGGGTGTGGTTTAAAAAATCGGATTAATAATAACAATAATTAAAAATGAAATGGAAAGTTTTATGGGTTCTTCTGAAGAAACTTCTCATTTTATTGAGCGGAAAAGAGGATAAATTGGCAAAAACAGAGCAGGAAAATGAACCATTTAAGATCTCCACAGCAGGGAGCAAGCAAATTAGTAAATAATATCATGGATCTCTATTAAATAACAAAAAGCACAGTAAATTGTAATAATTAGCCCCAAGGGTCCTATATGATGGACAATGGAGCTGTAAGGCAAAGGAATACAGCTGGGTTACATACCTTTACTAGCGTAGAGAGAGCGCCACGCACAATAACTACAATGTTTGATCATGCATACATTTATTTATATATTATTATATAGGCTATATGTCATATAGTTTAGCCAGTTTTTCAAGCAAAGACAAATGAGCCTACTGCTATAGGTCAGATTGTGGTTCACAGCGAACAGTGGGATTTCAAGAGCGAAATTAGTGAGCTTGTAAGATCTCCAAGTAGTTTGTAGTAACAGCTGGGACTGACATGGAGAGCATGCAGTGGGTCATGCAGAAAGGAGGGTTAAAACAGACAAAAGAAAAAAAATGGAAAAGGAAAGAAGCATCGTTGTTCGGATTTTAAGACAAAAAGATATGTAAATTTCTCGATTGAGATATTACTTTGATGGACACTGGATTCGTCAGTCATAATAGCAGTCATAATATATAGCAAAGTGGAAAACGGCGAGGACAATTCAGAGAGTGGCTGTGAAATGTGACAGATTTACACAAAAAATCCATGATGGTTTAGTATAATATCTTGTTTCCATGCATGGTAGGATTCATTATCTAAGAGACTCTGTTGAATCCTCCTTCCAGCCATCCTCCGCCCTCTGTCTGTAATTAACGCCAGATGTAGAAGTAAAATTAGCATATGTTTCACACGTTTCTGCTAATCATTCATACATTTGTGTGAGCGTATAAAATATTTATCTATGTAGAAAGTCTGAATAAAGACTATTGTTTTGCTATTGTAACATTTCCTTGGCATAATATTATACTACTCTATTTGAAGCATACAATGAAATTACCATGCAATTATCATTAAATTGGTATATGGAAATTATTCATGACAGCGTGTATTTATTTGGTTTAACAGAGCGTAAGTATTATTTTTGCGTGTTTTCCGTTTGCATTCATGAATGGTTCAAGAAGCACTTGTTTGGGGGAGTTTAGATGGTTTTCCTCACAAAAAATAAAAAATAAAGTTAAGCACCTTTCACACGTTTGTCAAGATGCATTTTTGGATATACAAACTGAAATTAGCATAAAAACAGTCATTATAAAATGATTTTATAATTACTCATTTTGCCTTTTTTTTATTATCAATTATTTCTTTGATATTATTCTTTTTTTCATCTGGCATGTTTCTTTTTTTCAAACTCCAAATGTGAAAATTGAGTTTCTGAGTTTTTTTTCCTCATTATTGTCAATAATATGATAAAATGATTTGTATTATTTTGATGTAAGTTTTGCTTTATGCTAATAATTGTGAAGTTGGGGTTAATGAAAAAAAAATTATAATATCACAATGATGTTACAAAATCTTTATATTCCTAAACTAAGTAAATTTAAGCAAAATATATTTTTATTAATTTATGGTCATTTATCTATTTTAGTTATTTGTGTAAAAAAATGAAATTGGCATAAAAATAGGGGTCTGGGTCATCCAATTTCACCCTAGAATCAACAGAAAGGGCAAATTCCTACAAAATTCTCATTACTGTTATGCAAAAAATAAATAAATAATATGATGTTACAAAATCTTTATATTCCTAAACTAAGTAAATTTAAGCAAAATATATTTTTATTAATTTATGGTCATTTATCTATTTTAGTTATTTGTGTAAAAAAATGAAATTGGCATAAAAATAGGGGTCTGGGTCATCCAATTTCACCCTAGAATCAACAGAAAGGGCAAATTCCTACAAAATTCTCATTACTGTTATGCAAAAAATAAATAAATAATAGAATTTTCTATAACAATTTTTATTATATATATATATATATATATTGTGTTTGTATATGTGACCCTGGAGCACAAAACCAGTCATAAGTAGCATGGGTATATTTGTAGCAATAGCCAAAAATATATGGGTCAAAATGATAGATTTTTCTTTTATGCCAAAAATCATTAGGATATTAAGTAAAGATTGTGTTCCATGAAGATATTTTGTAAATTTCGTACTGGAAATATATCAAAACCTAAATTTCTATTTAGTAATATGCATTGCTAAGAACTTCTTTTGGACAACTTTAAAGGGTTAGTTCACCCAAAAATGAAAATTCTGTCATTAATTACTCACCCTCACGTTGTTCCAAACCAGTAAGACCTTCGTTCATCTTCGAGAAAACAAATTAAAATATTTTTGATGGAATCTGAGAGCTCTCCCATACACAGCAATACAACTGAAATGTTCCCAAGTCCAAAGACGTAGCAAGGAGATCTGTAAAAGAATCCATGTGACATCAGGAGTTCAACCGTAATTTTACGAAGCTATGAAAATACTTTTTGTGTGCAAAAGAAAAGAAAAAAAACGACTTTATTCAACAATTCATCTTCTCCGCATCACCCTGGTGCCATTTTGGAGAGTATCAGCTGGACGTAAACAACGTATGCTGTTCTGTGTCAGCTGCGTCACGCCGGATCTGTTTCCTACATTGTTGTGATTTGATCTGAACGAAAACAGCGTATCCGTGTGACGCAGCTGACACAGAACAGCATATGCTGTTTACATCCAGCGGATACTCTCCAAAATGGCGCTACAGGGTGACGCGGAGGAGACGAATTGCTGAATAAAGTCTTTTTTCTTTGCACACAAAAAGTATTCTCGTAGCTTCGTAAAATTATGGTTGAACCCCTGATGTCATATGGATTATTTTACAAATCTCCTTGCTACGTCTCTGGACTTGGGAACATTTCAGTTGTACTGCTGTCTATGCAGGGTCAGACAGCTCTCAGATTCCATCAAAAATATCTTAAAGGGATACTCCACCCCAAAATGAAAATTTTGTCATTAATCACTTACCCCCATGTCGTTCCAAACCCGTAAAAGCTTTGTTTGTCTTCGGAACACAATTTAAGATATTTTAGATGAAAACCAGGAGGCTTGTGACTGTTCCATTGACTGCCAAGTAAATTACACTGTCAATGTCCAGAAAAGTATGAAAGACATCGTCAGAATAATCCATCTGCCATCAGTAGTTCAACCATAACGTTATGAAGCGACGAGAATAACTTTTGTATGCGAAGAAAACTAAAATAACGACTTTATTCAACAATTCGTCTCCTCTGTGTCTCTCCGCATCACCGTAGCGCCATTTTGGAGAATATCCACTGAACGCAAGCAGCGTATGCTATTCTGTGTCAGCCGCACTGCACGGATGTGCTGTTTTCGTTCAAATCAAAGCGTAAATACACAAGGATACGTTTTCTACGTGTATTTACACTTTGATTCTGACGATGTTTTTCATACTTTTCTGAACATTGACAGTGTAATTTACTTGGCAGTCAATCGGACAGTCACAAGC